TTTTTTTTGAGACGGAGTTCACGCTTATGTGCCCGGGCTGGAGTGCCAGTGGTGTGATCTCGGCTCAACGGCAGCTCTGCCTGCCGTGGTTTAAGTATTCTGAACCTACAGAATTGGGACAGAGACATTTTGCGTCCTACTCATCGACAAAGGCGCAATATCCAGCAACTACAAAGAACTCAAAACAAATTACAAGAAAAAACAAAAGAAACCCCATCCCAAAAAGTGAGGCCCAAAAGGATTGAACAGACATTTCTCAAAAAGAAGACAAATTCATACCAGCCAACCCACACATGAACGGAAAATGTTCATCATCACTGTGCCATTCCAGAGAAATGCCAAACTCAAAACTAACAATGAGATACCAATCTGCACACCAGCTTTAAGAATGGCGATCCATTAAAAAGCTCAGGAAAACACCAGGTGCTGGAGAGCGATGTTGGAGAAATAGGAACACTTTTACGCAAAAATGTTGGTGGGCAATCGTAAACTGTCAACCATTATGGAAACAGTACTGGCCGATTCCTCCAGGATCTACTGGAATCTGGAAATAGCCAGCTTGAACCGCAGCCATCCATTACTGGTAATGAATACCAAGAGGACTAATAAATCTATACCGCTGCCTTTAAGGACCCACAATGCAGGCACGTATCCGTTTATGGCCGGCACCATCACCCAAAGTAGCAAAGACTTGGAACAACCAAATGCTCCATCCAAGTGGACCAGACTGATTCAGGGAAAAGGTGGCCACATATACACCATGGAAATACTATGGCAGCCCCCATAAAAACAGGATGTAATTTGTGCGACCTTGTAGGGACACTGCGACGCAGCTTGAAACCCATCAAGTCTCAAGCGAACTCCCTAGTCACAAGAACCAGAAAACCAAAACATTGGGCATGTCTCACTCATAGGTGGGAACTGAACAATAGAGACATCACTTGGACCTCGGGAAGGGAACATCAATCACACCGGGGCCTAGTCACGCTCGGGAGTGGACCGCGGAGGATTGCGCAGTGAGTTATCACCGATGTAACACACGAGTTGATGGGTGCTGAGCGAGTTTGAAGCTGGTGCACGTAACACCAACATGGCAGTACCCATAACGTGTACCCACAAAACCCCTGCAGCGTTATGCACATGTAACCGCCTAGAACACGTAAGTTATCAGAAGAAAAAAAAAGGGCTATTGGCATAGACTGGCCACGGGAAAGAGTTGTCTAAGGCACGTAGGACGCATGGAATGATTGGCCCCCTCCCTTTGCCACACATGCCTCAGTCGTGGGCTTCGGGTGTGAGAGGCACAGCAGACAGCAAAAAGAAGCGAAGATATCCGTTCAGTCTCCTGTGATAAGATCGTGCCACTGCACTCCAGCCGGGGCGACAGAGCGAGACTCCGTCTCAAAAAAAAAAAAAAAAAGCACAAAGAAAGTTCTCAAGCCCAGTGGGTTAGCACACTGATCCCAGTGACTCAGGGGAGGGCTGAGGCAGGAGGATCTCTCGAGCCCAGGAGTACAAAGCTGCAGTGAGCTATGATTGTGCTACTGCACACTACGGCCTGGACAATAGAGCAAGACCCTGTCTCTAAAAAAAGAAAGCGTTCTCAAAGCCCATTGAAAGAGAAGATAGGCCAGGCACAGTGGCTCACACCTGTAATCCTAGCACTTTGGGAGGCTGAGGGGGGCAAATTGCTTAAGCTCAGGAGACCAGCCTGGGTGACATGGTGAAACCCCATCTCTACAAAAAAGCTGGGTGTGGTGGCACGTGTTTGTCATACCAGCTAATCTCGAGGTTGAGGTGGAAGGATCTCTTGAGCCTGCCTAGGAGGCAGAGGTTGCAGTGAGCAGAGATGGCACCACGGCACGCCAGCCTGGGTGACAGAGTATGAGACCCTGTCTCAAAAAAAAAAAAAAAAAAAGATAAAAACGAAGACACTGGGGCAGTGGCTTGGGCCCAGGTGATCTCAAAAGCCCTTTCAGACAAAGGACAGTAAGTGGGGTGAAAGTGGCTTTGTTACAGAACTGTCCTAATCTAGTGTCTGGGATGTGTGCTGCCTTCCTCCAGCCACCTAGGCACCAAGAGGTTGCCCGTCATTGTCCTCTAAAGTGGGCAGAATTAGTCCAAGTTCGTAAGTGTCTAGATGATCCCTAGCTGATCTTCATGCACGAATACATAAAGCAAGTTCTAGGGTCCCTAACATCATAGCTTAAACGTCCAGCCTATAGCACTTCATCTATAACTAACACATCAATATGGAAGAGACTCTGTTCTTAAGAACTCTTCTGGCCAAGAAAGACTATTTTTATGATTCCTTTTAACATTTTTTTAATTTTTTGTTTTGTTTTGTTTTGTTTTGTTTTGAGACGGAGTCTCGCTCCGTCGCCCAGGCTGGAGTGCAGTGGCGCCATCTCGGCTCACAGCAAGCTCCACCTCCCAGGTTCACGCCATTCTCCTGCCTCAGCCTCCCGAGCAGCTGGGACTATAGGTGCCCGCCACCACGCCTGGCTAATTTTGTGTATTTTTAGTACAGACAGGGTTTCACCATGTTATGCAGGATGGTCTCGATCTCCTGACCTTGTGATCCGCCCGTCTCAGCCTCCCAAAGTGCTGGGATTACAGGCTTGAGCCACTGCGCCCGGCCAATTTAGCATCTTAACCATTTGTAGGAGTACCGTTCAGTACTGTTAAGTCTATTCATGTTGGTGTGCAACAGATCTTTAGAACTTTTTAATTTTGCAAAATTAAAAGTCTACACCCATTGAACTCTCCCAGCGCTCCCCCCCCCCCATTTTATGGGTGAAGTAATACTCTGTAAACAAATATTTTAGTGGAATTTCTACAACAGCAAGAAGCCATGCTTTTGTAAAATGCAGAATTTACTAATGTGGGTATGTTTCTTTTCTCGTATAGACCAAGTTCCTTGAAGTCAAGGAGCCCATCCTGTCATGCATCTTGACACTTGGCCTGTGATCACTCAGTTCAGTGAATTTTTTTTTTTTT